ATATATGAAAACAAATCAATGGTCACTGATGTGATCATTTATGTATATTTTATATTGTATTTATTTAATTATATATACAGTATATGTATATAATTAAATAAATGCAATATAAAACATATATATATATATTTCTTTTTTTAACATCTCATCTCATTCACATCTCATTTTAACATCCTTGGAAAACAAAACAATGGTCACTGGTGTAATATATTTGCTTGTGATGCTTCAGTGCCAGCTGTGTTCAGAAGAAGACGTGATATTGTTTGGGGAAGTGGGCCATGTTGGGAGTGAACACTGACTCCTTCAAAGGTCTTTTGGGGGGATATTAAATATAGAAGCCAAAGTGCTAAAAAACCATCATTGGCTTTATTCTGACTACAGGCCGTGTATCCGAGGACCAACGCAATCAGGATCGATATGAGATGTAGTGATGATCCCAACCAGAGTGAGGCAGCAAAGCGCTACACGCGCCTACTCTGCCGTAAAGCGGAGACACTTCAAGGCAGAACACTACGAACATCAGCCGGTTGTTGTTGTTTTAGATATACGTCTGGTTCACCGCCTCGTCTCCGTTACTGAGCTTCTCTACGGGACGTAAACGGGAGGAGACGGTAATCAAATCAAGTGCACCGATAACTTTGTCGACATCACGTGTCGTCCACTTACCTGTGGAGCTCTGTTCAGGTACTTTTTAATCTGTGTTAAAGAGGTTATCTAGACCAGAGCTGCAGTGTAACCTCATCTGCATTACTTTAAAATGAGAGGCACGTTTAGTTCACACGTGCTGCTCAGGTTTTAAAGCGAACTAGATGGTCACGTGCGTGGTGATGCTTAGAGGAAGAATCATCTTCAAAGTTTCAAGTGGACCTAAAAGAAAAGTTTGTTTTAGTATTGTTGTTTTATCAACGTATTCAATTAATGTTTTTATTCTCCTTATCAAATCATGTAAGTCATTCCACTGAATTGAGATCGCCATTGAAAATAAAAACAAGGCAATATAATGGCATCATCCTCTGTTTCCAGCTTCAATATTATTATTTTCCTTACTATTATCCTATGTTTTCAAACTGAGAATATGTGTTCACTGTTAAAATAAGACATTTAAAAAACAAAAACGAAATAATTGATATCTTAAACATGATCACAGAAATGTATTAACGCAGCAAGTACAAATCATTGTTAGGAGCAGCCCTCGTGACATTTGTTGAAACATTTATTTTTGTAATTTTATGGTTTATTTGTTGGAGATATGGATGTCATTCTCCATCACACTGTGTATAATCTATGTCGTGATATGGGACTTTATTATTTTAAATTAATTGACAAATTGTTAATGGATAAAATGACCAGACAGGAATTACTTTAGTTTTTTTTCTAATCCAGCAAAAAAAAAATAATGAATCAAAGTTCTGTAATACAGCGATGCAAAAACATACGTAATACACATCGAGATGTTAAAGATGGCCTCTGTATGAATGAGATAGTTTGAACTCATCAACCCTGTTATGGATGTTTTGAACAGGTTTCTTCACAGACTGTAAGCGATGCCACCAAAGACGAGGGCCAGAGTGACTAAAAGAACTGCGAGTTCAGGTGAGCAAATGAACTTGCAGAGTAAAACTTCTCGTCTGGTTTGGGTGTTTTCTGAGGGACTCATCAGATTATTGCTGCAACGACAGGCAAGGACGATGCCGACGAAGCGGCTGGCGGGAAGAGGAAAGCTCCTGCCGAGTCTGCGAAAAATAAGGAGAGCTCAGAATGTCCACAGCTCTGTCACTGGCTGATGAAGTCCGAGCCAGAGAGCCGCTTTGAGAACGACATCGACGTCAAGGTACAGAGCCTGAACACAGTTTATTTTTTATATTTTAATGTGAGTGGCCTGCACTCGTCTGATGGTCTCATTCTGCAGTTTGGGATAGAGGATCTGAAGGCTTTGCCGGATCAGACTGGTTGCTGGGACGGCGTCCGCAATTATCAGGTAGAGCCACAAAACCGACTCGGTAATGAAAACGATGTTTCCCTCAAATAAGGCACTTTTTTTCTCACCAGCCTCGTGCAAATTCTTCCTTCTTGTTTTGTTCCTCTGAATCATCCAGGCGCGCAACTTCATGAGGCAGATGAAAGACGGGCAGTTGGCTTTCTTTTACCACAGCAACTGCAAAGAACCGGGGATAGCGGGACTCATGACAGTAAGTCACGCTGATATTGTGATGATTTAAACAAAGCTACAGGCATCATTATTCGCTGCATTTCCTTTTTTCTAGATCGTGAAGGAAGCTTATGTGGACCACACGCAGTTTGACAAGAAAGATGTCCACTTTGATGCAAACAGTAAAGCGGACAACCCCAAATGGAGCATGGTGAATTCATTCAGGAGTTAAAAGCACACTGCAGGATCATAACAATGGAGCATGGGGGGGGTTTGATGTTGTTTTCTTCTCTCTCAGGTAGATGTCCAGTATCAAAGAATGATGAAGCGTTTTCTCCCTCTGTCTGAGCTGAAGAAGTACCACCTGCAGCATCGCGCCACAGGGGGGCCCCTGAAGGACGTGGCCCTGTTTACGAGGGCCCGGCTCTCTGTGCAGCCCCTGACCCCTGGTGAGTGAGGACGTCCTCCCTCTGTGACGTCTGTCAGTGTTTACCGGTTCTGAACCCTCGCTCCGTTCTTCTTTTCCTCTGCAGAGGAGTTTGACTTCGTCCTGAATTTGGAAGATGAAGAGCCTTTGTGAGGATTTGGACCAGATGTTGTCGACACAATGAAATCGTGAAGCAGAGACCTTGTTCACGGCACTGTAGCGTTTATGTTCTTTTGTTCACAAATATTAAATGTGCTTTTGTCAAATAATGGCTCACATCCAGTCTCTGAACGATACAGAGCAAGCTTCTTCGACACCTGATGTTTAAATGGCAAAGTCCTGCTTCCGTCACAAATTCCCAAATACGAAGTTATCTTCAAACAATCCAAGAAGTCAGAACAATTAGATATTTGGCACTTTATCTTCCAAAAGTAATTTAATGACTGATAATAAAACTAGCTGGAGCAGTTCCTCATTCGTTGGTACTTGCAGTCATCTCCCTTTCCCCTCTTCATTAGAGGGTTAATTCAGATCACCTGTTGGCTGCTGATTATGAATTGAGAGCAGCTTGGTGAGTTTCTCCTCTCGGCCAATCAGGGTGTGATGACGCCTTTTCTTCAAAGCTTAAGAGAGAGGTGGGGAATCACGCTCGCATCTTTCTGATCCTCTGACTTACTGCAGACCTCATTTTAGCAAATTCTGCCAGAAAGGCGTCGGGCTCCTTTGAAACTTCCTTTCTGTCTTTTGCTTTTCTCAAAGAAGACGTTCTGATTCTTCCTCGACTAAATGAAAACCTCCTTTCAGCAGATATTGTTCGCCAGAAACTCTTGTCTTCTTTGATGTCTTTAACTTTTCTATTTCAATGTGATTTTGAAGCATTCTGTAACTTAGCTGGAGTGAATATTAAGAACACAGTTCCTGAACCTCAATGAATGTATTTTATTTTTATTGAAAGCCCCTTTATACACATTTAACTTGTCGAAGAGGCATTTCTTCATTATGATATACATTTCTGTATTATGTGGTTGGGAAGTGGTTCTCAGGCTTCGTTCTGCTCAGCTGAAATCTGGGTTGTCAGTGCGGCCAAATAGCTGCACATTTTTTGTCAAGACAAATTGATAAATCATTTTACGAGTTTCCAGTTTTGTGATTGTTACAGAGCTGTTAATGATCATGTATTTAAACAACCTGAAGACTTCGTCACTCATGTTCAAAGCTGTCAAGTGTTAAATTGCTCAGTGACAACACAACTCAGCCGTGTACTGTTTGTAGCAGTGTTAGTATGATGTAGTCAGTGTATGTGGTGGTCTTATTAATAACACTTTCACTCATTGCTGTAAAACAACCAAGTCCAGGTTTTTCTTTTTTTTTTTCATTTGGCATCAATTTATTTGACCTTCAGGGACAAGGAATAATTCATTAGCATTTTTCAAAAGATAGTTCTACTGTAACTCTTTCTCTGGTTAAAAGACTAAAATCATGTTAAAGAGGCAGGAGGATTCCATTTGCTTGATACACTGAGGCACAACGTTTAAGTCTCTAATGAAGAGGATACAGTGGACTTCATACTATCAGACCTTAATACAAACACCCACTCCTCACAGCCACTGGAATGCCGAGGCAAAGCACGTGAGCATGAAAGGTGGTCTTGTGGCACCGCATACTGTATCATCAACGTACACAAGCTGGAACAGGATAAAAGGTTTTAGCTGGTCTTATTTACAGATCAAAACCACAAAAACACGTGCGATAATACTTAAGCCCTCAAAATGGGAAGTTTCCGCTTCGATAATTCTTTTTTTTTTTTGTACACACACAGAAACAAACAAAGAGAAAATGTGTTTAGCAAGATAAAGCAGTGCAAAGTGATCTCAGATTTCTTGACCTTACAACAATGTTAGGAACGCATTCGTTAAAGGTGGAATGTTGGAGATACATTTCTGAAAATTCATGACAGTCGAGTCGCATTAATTACGAGATCAGAAATTAATTGATCCTAAAAAAAAAACGTTAATTAAAGTAACCAACAGAAGGCTTAAAAATTCCAGAATATCACACATGGAAGGTTTTAACACAGTGGACATAGTGAATGATTAGTTTGATTCCCATAAAGAAAAGACAAATGCGTTAACGAGGAAGTACAAGACCAGCGGCCCGAAGCCACTTCGAATGCCTCATGCAAACGGTGTGCATTGTCCACATACTGTATGTATGTGTGACTGTATGTCGGGCTCCCTTCTTCCTCCCTTCACCAGCAGCGGCTACAAATAAAAAAAACAAAAAAAAAACAGCTGCGTCACCACATGATGTACAGTTGACGGGCGGCTCCCGACGCGGACGCCGATTACTCTCGTGAGAGGAGACGGGCGGGCGGCAGACCTCTACCCGCTCTCCTCCTTGGCGGCCTGTTCCAGAGCGCTCTCCGAGGCGGCCGAGCCCTCGAACCTCTGCGAGGCGATGGCCGCCTGATGAGACATGCTCTTCCTCACCACGTCCCCTTTCCTCCACAGCGTGATTTCCTGCACAAGGAAGGGTTCGGAGGGTTTTAGACGCTGTGTGCTTTATTTATTTTTTTTACTGTCTATTGACTTCTTATCCATGAAAGCTCAAGACCATGACAGTAAATCTGGTGTTGCTCTTGTAAGTGGTCACTTAAATTAAAAAAATCATGTTAGTAACGTTTGTATATCGGCAGCAAGATGCTCTCCTTTGCCGAGGACAAGAAAATATGTTCCCAGAGCCAAAATGATATTTTCAAATTGCTTGTTTTCTCAATTATTTTCTCCATTTTTGCTACACAAATGATAACAATTAATGTATTGCCGGAATTTTTGTGGATTATCCAACTATTTGTTTCAGAACCAGCTGTTTCTTTAGCAGTAAGTATACAAAAATCAACCTACTTCCTTCCATTTCATGCTGACATGACGCAGTATGTGTGCCACACAATAATTAAACTGCCCCTTGCCGATAAATGTGTTCCACAAATGTAATTGCCTTACGGTCCAAAACTCAAACCACATCCTCAAAGCTGCGTATTAGTATGGACTGTAGTATAGAATTGGGATACAAGCATTGGTCCAATAATTTCACTGCACTTGATGTTTCTCTCTTATCTCTTCCTCAGGAAACCGTGTCACATCCCAGGCAGTATCACTACACACGGCCTCGTTCCTGCAGCAGCCTACCTGCTGCTTGAAGTAGCGTCTCTCCTCCTCGTCGATCAGAACCAGGTTCAGGTAGTAGCGCACGGAGAACTTCTTGTTGATGTCTCGCATGGTGGGAGTCAGATCATAGCCAGCCAGAAATAACCGGATGGGAATGGACTCTCCTGGATCATGGAATAATCGTGTCAGGTTGGATGACGCTCAGTAGATCTTGAGTTAGATGTTTCGTGATTAAAATGACTGCAATCATGCGTAGGTGTCGTTTACCTCTGACCGGAGCTCCGTCCATGATCTCGTACTTGGCGATGGTGTCGTTTTCATGGTACACACTGGGGCCGGTGCCCGTCGTCTCACGTTTGATGATGTCGATCTCCATGTGTTTGATTTTAATCCTCACCAGCAGGAAGTAGATTTTTCCCACAATAACATCTTTCAGATGGTACCTGTCAGAGGACAGATGAAGACACGAGCAGAAAGGAGAATGAGGGCTGCAGGTCGCTCAGTAACGGAGCACCAATATCTTTTTATCAGTTGGCTACTGGACAGCATTTGCTGGTTTTTCTTTGTCTTTGATAGTAGATGGTAGTATTCTTTGGGTGTTGGACTGTTGGTTAAACAAGACACTTTAAGACAATCTGATAAAGACTTTTTACTATTTTCTAACATTATATAAATTAAAAAGTTGAATCACTGTCTAGGGATCGATTATTAATGAAAGAATAACTGTTTGTTGCAGCCCTACAAGTCTTACTTGGACTTGTTGTACTCAAACTCGATGTGGAGACAATCTTCTATTCCTACTTCCATCTTGATGGAGGAGTTGAGTTCAGGGTAAGTGCTCAACGTGTGCACCACGATGTCCGTCTCTTTACTGATGTCATTTAGTCGTCTGATCACCGTGGCCCGCAGAAAATATCTGCAAACAAACAGAGAATGAAGACAGTATAATCACACCGAAGCAATAAAATACAGACTTCACAGTAAATGTGGGCAACGTTGAGCGTCAAAATGCTCAGTTTAAATGTTAAAGGTTACAGAGGGACACTTAAAGTCCCTCAGTTCACAGCCAATAGAGAGGAGCGAATGATTAAACGTACCGTAGCTTGACGTTCTGGCCCGTGTACGACTCGTAGGGTTTTTCAACATGAGTGAACTCAAAGTCGAAGGTCTGGGACTGAGTTATTTCTCCCGGTCTTGCGAGATCTTTCACCAGAGAAACGAACTCATGATGGTTTCCTCTGTCGTAATACAGCTCTAGAAGAAAGACGCAAAAGCAGAATAAGTGCTGATGTTACCGATTTACGTTTGTGACGGATGTACAGAGATAAACTTCAATTTAAACTGGCCATGTTGTCCATCATTTGTTGTGTTTTCTATAATTCTGCCAAATGCTAATTCCACTTATATTTGGTCTTTATTTGAATATGATTAGGCTAGTCACATATTAAGGTTTAAATTAGAGTCTCGCCTTAAATGTTAGTTGCAATTTTAGTTGTTAGTAGATTATCCAATAGTGTTCTGTTACTTTGAGATGTTTTGGGGAGGGTGTTGCTATTTTTCTCTCAGTCAAGGGAAGGGTCCCAGGACAATATTGATCAGGTTTAAGAGTGCCCGTGGCTCAGATGGTGCTGCTCATGTATGACCATTAAATTCAAGTCTCAGGGTTCACAGAGTGCTCAAAGACTCTTCTAACTACCCTGTTTGCTAAACCATAAAAAAAAAACATTTTTAACCCGTTTCCCCGAGCTGGAAATGACACATCTCCTCGGTTAGTTTGTTCTTTCCAAAATATGTTACATCATCAAAAAACAACTATGTCACTCTGGCTCCAGGGATTGGTAAATACGGCTGCACCTTTAGAAGCTGGTTAGTCTTCTTTAGTTGTTCATCAAAATGAATATGTGTTCATCCTGATGATGGGAAGAGTCTTAAAGCAAATAGCACAATATTTAAAAGTAATATAACCCGATTGAACTGGTTCAGTTCATTTTGCCATTAAAAAAGCCCCGACACCAATGATTGGTGTACAGTCCCTAACATAATGTTTATTCTATGAACCATAACACCATAACATGGGTATAAACAGAGGCCAGACTTCTGTGTGAACTTGTGAAATCTTTGGTGAACACATGTAAAGACGTCTCTACTGTGTCCGTCTTATTGATTTTTTTTCACCTACCTATTTGTCCAACAAACTCTACTTTGATGCCCTGGTGCTCCAGCCTCTTGCCGGGGTTCTTCAGCGTCACGTTCACCTTTCCACTCACTGTCTCACCGTCATAGAAAAGAAAGTATTTGTCTTTCTTTCCATCTTCAGTCTTGTGCTCAGCCTTCTTCCTCGTTTCCGCGTCATTCAGGACTACATCAACTTCTGCACTTTGTCCAAAACTGAAGAAACTCATCTTGTGTAAACTCTTGTTAGCAAACTAATCCAAAAAAAACAAACCTGCTGATGTTTCAAAGTAAAACAACACAGACACACACTAAGGCCTGCAGGTTGTGCGACCTCAGTTCCCTGTCGGAGCACGAGATACTCTATTAAACGTGTAAAAAGTCGATGTTGGATGTTTTAGAGATAGCTCCACATTAGCTACATGTCCATACCGACCAAGCGAAATAGCAACACGACGGCACAACAAGAACGCAACAATAACACGTCCATCAGCAGATGAGCCGTTTCTTTTCTTCTTCTGGTGACCTTTTATAGTAGATAGTCTAACGTTACACCGCGTGCACACTAGTACTCTCCGTAACGGTCACAATCCTCGCTATGTGAATGTATATTACATGTTTGTTTTCTATAAGAAACGACGGTGTATGTTGTCAAATAACCAGGATGTACGCCACCTGCATTGGGTTAACTACTTCCGGGTGGGGGTTTTCAAAATAAAAATCCAGAAGTGTTTGAGCTGAAGTTCCAAACCACGTTCTAAACAACTGTTACTATACTATATATATAATGTATATAATATATATATATTACTATATATAATGTACAATCATGTTATATATATATATACTATGTATAAAATATATATTATATAATATATATTATGTATAATGTTCTATTATGTAATATATATATATAATGTATATTACTAGATATAATGTACTATTATACTATATATATACTATATATTATATATATGATATACTATGTATAATGTACTATTATATTATATATATTATGTATACTATCCATAATATAAATAATATACATATCATATAATGCATACTATATATAATGTACAATATATAACTTATAATACTATATATAATGTACTACTACTGTTCTGGTTCCAAACCAGAAGTGAGAGCTGTTTAATGCTTTGTCTACGACTCTAACCAAGGTGAAAACAAAGTACCAAATATTAGTACTATATTTATTTAGAAAGCAACGGGGAGTAAAGTTATTTACTTCAGTGTAAGCAGCGGCAGCACAAGGAAAACATATTCCATTACGATGACTTCCTGCATATTTATAATATTAGATTATAATTCCCGATGTTTTTAAGCAGCTTTATTGTTGTAGCTGGCTGAAGTAAAGCTGATTTGAACTTCTTTATACTTACTGTACTGGTGAAAACCACAGTCTATGGTGAAAACTAAGTGTATTTACCCAAATAGGCGACTGTACTTAAGTATAATGTTTGGTGGAAGTTTATATTAATAATAATGTATGATATTTTAGTAGCTCATCACAGGTTTTGTAAAATGGCATCTTCATATGTAGAGTTATTAGTAGCTGTCAACATAAGTAGTATAGTACTAGTTCTCTCTATAATGTAGTGGAATAGAAGTATAAAGAAGCATACAGTAGAAAGCACCTCAAACCAGTTTAGAAATGTTATATATGTTGTCACACATTAAACTGCCGCTGTATCATTAGTTTCTCGTCCTTTCTCAAAATCAATCTGACAATACACATGACCACAACATTTACAGTTCAAACGTATTTAATAGTAACAAAATAACATGAACATATAGCATTAATATCAAATGAACAGTGGACATTTTACAACAGTTCCTGAGTTGTTACACAAATCATTGACACTAATGTTTGAAATGACAGGCTCAACACTGCAGATACACACTGAACAGTAAATACTGTAAATTTATAAGTTTTATTGCAGTATTTACAATAAGGTATGGAGTGCAATATATGCAAATTAAAAGATCAAAGATGTATGTATTTATGTACATCAAATACTGAGTCAAAACTGGACAATATGTCCAATACTCACAAAATAATTAGTAAAGCATAGAAGGTCACTTATACACAGAAACAGCACTCTAAAAATCATACTTCACCACCTTTATAGTACATATTGACTTTGCAGCATAGTGGGATATATGTTGTTCAAACTCACAAGTTACTCTGTACTCGTATAGACTTGTTATTATCTGTGAATATAAGAAAGGCGGGTAACTTGTGCCTTATGAATCTGAGCTCATCAGTCTTTTACAGTCTGCTGCTTATTGCCTGTATAACTACAGTATGTACAAAAAACTGTTGCAAATTATCCCCACGTGAAACAAAATAAGAACATGTTTATCTTATGAACAAATATAACGTAAATGAGTTTTGTCAAACAATTTCAGTTTACTCAGTAAAAAGTTTTAAGAGATATAAAAGAAGATTTGTCCAAAAGACGTTGAAGGAATGTCGCTTGCAGCATCTTCTGCCATGACACCGTGGGCGAAATATCAAATCCCACTAAAACATTGTGGCAAATGAGTTAAAATAAACTAAATATGGAGTAACAAATGTTTCAACCGGAAATGAATACTAACAGAGAAGAAGATTTATATTGAAAGAAAAAACATGAAACAGTGCCACAAAATTATATCAAAATTACTTTGGCAAGTTTGTTGATTTGACTTTGATGTGCATCAGAGAATAATGTGCCATGTTACACCTCAAACTTTACCATCTGGAGAATCATTGTAGCAGTTTAACCTCAACAGTTCTTTGCTCTTGTCTTGGGTTTCATCTCATCCTCCGTCTCCGCTGTCAAATGATGAATGAGGACTTGTGGCGAAAATGGCCCTGTGGAAAACAGGAAGTATAAAATATGTATGCACAACTGATCCTTTAATAGTTTAATTTCTTCACAGTAAGACATGCAACAAATACTGTGTATGCTCTGAAGAGTTTGTTTACCTCATCTGCATCGGCATATTCAACACCATCATTCTGTGCTGGCCAATTGTAGCTGAAATAAACAGATAAAAAAAAAGACACAATAAAATACGAAAATCCTACAAAATGTTGCTTCTTTCGTTCTTCAGAGATTGTACTCACTTATTTTCAATGTGGCCTTTTTTGTAGAAGCATCCACGTTTAAGGGAATGACAAATCAAAGCAGCCAAACAGAAGAAAACAGTCACTGCACCAAAGGACTTGAGGAAAATCCCGAGGATGTCGACGTTATCTGCAACAGGACACAGAGATGATTGTCTTCACAGAGTTAGGCGGCATGGGAGATATGGAGTATTATGATCTGTGCACTTGTATATTTTGATTATATGTATTTAACATGGGGCTGAAATCATCACTTTAAGTAAAGATATCAAACGTTTTCTTCTGATAGGAAGCTTCATACCATTAGACACAACACAAGTAAGCTTTAGATAAAACTCTTGTATCTTGGATAGAAAATAGTGACTCAGGCGTTTAGACACTCACAGACTTCCATCATTTGTGAAGGACACTGTGCATGTCCGGCATCATTCTTTGCCTGGCAGTAGTACTCCCCTGCGTCCTCCTTCCTCACTCTTCGAAATTTCTGAGTAGACATTTTTAGAGACTTTTCAGTGCAATGACAGACAGCTGCGTTGTCAACAAAATGCTGAAGGATGCTTGGCTGTGGATCAAATCTTATGACATTTTCTAAAGACCGATTGTCTTCCAATGTGTTGTAACATTTCATGATATGGAAATGTGTTTAGTAACATGGTTGTTATTGTGTCTTTAAAGTACACCGTAAACACATCCCCTTGGCTTTGAATGCAACATTATCCTTCTTTCATATGCTGGTTTAAGGTTTAGCTTCCTTTATCTTTATATGCATGGATTTGTTAAATCACATTTACATTACTGTAGATTAGATGCACAAACAGAACAGAATGTCAACTACTTCTTCCACATTTGACTGAGGCAGATCCTGATAAGTTGATTTCTAATAACATAGTAACATCAACAGTAAATACATTTCTTTAGTGCTAGTTTTTCTAAAATAAACATGTCACACCGTGTGTCTTTCTTACCAGGCCTCCAGTGTCAGGGTTGATGCTATATGAAGAGTTGACCAACTTCGGGCTGTTCTTGGGGTCCTGAGGAAGCTCCTCGCTGTTGTGGAACCAGCGGTACTGAGAAGCAGGGAAGCCCTCGTTCTCCAGACATCGCAGCTCGGTTGATGTTCCAACTGTGACCGCCTCCGGCACGCTGCACCGTGGGACCACAGGTTTCACTGCACACAGACACAGGCACACGTCAAGCTACTGCAACCACTGTTAGTCATCAATTATATGTATGCATATATATATAATTTAATCAATCACTTGATGCATAAACTGTCTAAATATGGCAAATCATCATTATAGGTTAGCAGAGCCTGAAGTAAAGGAATGGTAAGACATTTTAAGAAATACATAATACAGTCCCTGTCCTTTGCATATGATATATATATAGTTTATCACAATGATGGGAATCACTGGAAGTAGGTAAGTAAAGATTTAATAACATAGCACTTTTCAAAACAAAGTGTGTCACAATAAAAGCATTAAATATCAAGAAGTATTAAAAAGAAGAAAAAAAAAATGAACAAAGAATTTACAAAACAGAAAAAACATTATTAAAAAAATAAAAACATCAGTAAAAGAACCAAAAAACACTTAAATTATAATAGTTGGAGGGAAACTATTGGAAATGTAGGTTTTAGGTTGTACTCGGGGCCTTCATCGTGTGGCCTGATAGTCGGCCTTGCTGTTTTCACCTGCTTCCAGCCTTTATGCTAAGCTAAGCTAATTGGCTGCTGGCTGTAGTTTCATATTTAAGGCCCAGGTGTAAGATTGGTGTTGATTTTCTCATCCATGTCTTGGCAAGACAGCAAAATCTGTCAAACTATCCCTTTAATATAAATGTAAAATTAACTGATAATCCTTTAATATAAACTGAATATATATATACATATGTATATATATATATATATATAAGTCTTCAGTCAAGGACCCATGTGGTACCAGCTCACCGTACCTCTTACTGCAAGACTAATGAGTATCTCATCAAAGTCCCTTTGATCGTCGATGGCGGCCACCTCGCAGCGGTACTCTGCCGTGTCTGACCGAGTGGCGTTAAAGATCATGATGTTGGCCGGCTCTCTGAGCTGAGCTCTGTCCTCCAAGTCCCCTTTTCAAGAGAGAGGGGAAGAAAAAAAAAATCACTTTACAATTGCTCATTCACATACACAGTGTGACTTCACAGTCCGGGAAAAACAGAATTCAAAGCCAAGTTCTCTTAAGGTACCATTCATTCAGCTAAGCCTTGAGCCCTGAGACATCACTTTGGTTGACGGGGCTTTAAAAAAAAGGGAGAGTTTGCAAGCGGTTTACCTGCTATCCTGTTTAGAAAGTACACATAACTGGGGACACCGTTCTTAATCTTTTTCCATTCAATCCTCGGGTTGTTTGTGGAGATGGACTCTATTAAACAGGTCAGTTCGATGGCTGTGGGGGGAAACAGAACGCATCAGGAAAAGAAAAACTACTTTAGCTAAATAGGTTAGAGTGATTTTCCAGCAACTTACGCTCAAACTCATTTGCCCACACAATCTTGTCGGTGGTTCGGAGGATTACCCCCAGTGATGATGGGATGTGACCTGCGGGGAGGAAAAAGAAGAAAGAAGCAAGACGCTAAATGCTGAGTAACCCTGATGGCACACAAAAACACAAGCAATTTCATTAGCGGACATTATCAACTGGGCATGTTTCCTAATAAACGGTGGATTAGAGTGATAAATATAGAACCTCTCAGACAGCCTTGGGATCTGATTCAGAGTTTCTTATTAATCACTTCACATTTCTGTTTAAAAGGATTAACACCTGGGGCCAAAATGTGTTCTCACGTGCATTTTTAATGAATGTGTGTGCTGCACGGGATCGGCTTTAGGAAAAGAACTGACTCTTGAGAGTAAATATTATTTGATTTGGGTCCTTTATAATGGTTATTTTTTAAATAATTTGGCTGGTGATGAAACATTGAACGGGAGAGCAGGTTTTAAATGTTAAATTGCTGCAATGAAGATGTGTTTATAGTTTCAGCTTTGCTCTTGTGCTCCGCATTTTAAATGAAACCCTGTCTGAAGTTAAAGTGCTGACTTTCAGCTTTTTTGTTTGACACGCCCTAGAGTGCCAATGTGGGAGGACTTTTATGCAGAGTCCCTCCAGTTTTAGGACAATGCAGCAAGACAATAATCATAAGCATACAAGGCAAGGCATCCACAGAGTCTTTTAAGGCCAAAACGAATCCCCTGACCCCGGTCTAACTGAGCATGTGTTTCAATTAATGAAGACCGAGACTGAAGGCAAAACGCTCCTGAAACAAGTCAAATCTCAAGATACTTTCATGCAGCAATGTACAAATAAGGGGTTTCAAATGATCTATGAGCACTTCATGGGGTTTATGTGTTTATACTGCACAGGGGTGGCAGTTTCTTTAACCACAGACACTCATATGAGAAGTAGAAGTAGAGACAATGCCCTCGGACACAGATTGGACGTGGTTGTCTGATGTTAGAACATGAACATCTGCATCGCTAGCTCACTGGGTCTCACTTATTGGGTGACAATGTCCCTCTGAGGAACAGCTGGAGTTGGTCAGCGATGTGGCACTCATTAGAGCAGAAAGCCTACAACATTACAAGAGCTCGGATTTATTTAATTGTTTTTCAAGTTAAGTGAAAGAGCTTCTTTGCTGAACTGTGACACTAATTAACACTGAGGTTTATAGGATAAATAATTTATCAAAATCCCTGAACAAAACAAATCACGAGCACAAAAATAACTTGACAGTGGGGATGTGCTTTAAATTCGAAGCATATTTAATCAGCCGTCTTGTTCCCCTCCGGCACAAACAACACATGAGATATACTTATTTTAAGTTCCTTGCTTGAGTGCACTCCTTAAAGCAATCGGTGTTATTTCGCAAATGTCAGCTCGTGATGGCAAGGGGCATAATTCACCAGTTTTGTCAAACTTGGGCCAGCAGAATACCAATTTGAGCGGAAAATAAGTGAGCAAAGAGCGATGGGGTGTGCAACAACAAATTAGGAAAACGTAACAATTACCCACGTCAAGTGCACACATAATTCCACAGTGTGTGTGTGTGATTTAAAAGACTGAGGACAAATAAGCACGTTTCCACCTTCCACTGGTACCCTCCACTCAACCCATTGTGTCTGTGCCGCTTCCAAATGCAATAATCGTTGGGTACACATGCGACTAACAGCACCCCTGCTGAGTAATGAAGGCATTATCGCTCCCAGTGGAGGCAGTGTGAGGGGGGGTTTCAAATGAAGGCTGAAATTAGATAACAATAATTATCTGAGCGGGCCTTGAATACCGCAAGACATCCCCCCCTCCTGTGTGCCAGGAGGCCCCGTGCACTCTGACAAACTGTCTGTCTATTCACAGGGGCCTTGTTACGACATTTATCGGGCTAACATATAGCCGACGCTCGGCCTGAAAGTGATGGAAACGTGGGTCCTGCCAAGGCTCGAGCACAGCTGCGGACACTGATGGGATGTGACTTCCAGGTCTCAGCTTCCGTCTCTGTTGCTGACTTTCCCACCCTGCACATCAAGAAGCTATTTATAGCCCAGCTGTGACTGGACATCCCATGAGACACACGGAGAGCTCCGTCCAACAAACGCTCCCTCGGCATATGCGAGACGGAGTGAGGAGTTGTCTTTCTACAGCGGAGGCGGAAGCAAGTTCACCAACAAGGGGGGACAAAAGTAAAACCTGCAGCGCTAAGGCTTTCAAATACAGACGTCTGATCGAATCTGCTACAACCACACGGCACAAGTATCGCAGTACAACAACAAAACAAAAAAAAACTCCCATCATTTCATGGATTTCAACATAGCAGTGTGTAATGTTATTCTACGATTACAGGAAATAATCATTAATAATTAAATTGTGCTGAAGCACTCTGGAACTCTGATAAACACTCCTTGGGGGTGACCTTTGTTATATGTCACCCCCCCCCCCCCCGCCCTTCTGTCTTTGGCAAAACATTACCAAAAAAGAAACTGTTCCTTAAATACAGTCTTCAGTCCTTATTATTCACAGCAAATAATAACTCATACTGAGAGAATGGTTTTGGTTCACACTTTAGTGAACAGAAATTTAAAAAGATATATACATATACATATACATATACATATATATATATATACATATATATACGTATATATATGTATATATATACATACATACATATATATATATATATATTCATATATATACGTATATAAATATATATATATAGTGTACTAACTGCACAACCAGGCACATTTTTGACATGATTCTTTTAAAAAGAAGTAGGCCGTGGGAAAGTATGACCACAGTCGATTAACATGACAATGTGTAGCCAATTACTAATACTTAGAGCTTAGAATAAAAGCATCCACACAACAATGGTTGGTCCCCCGGTGACACAATGTAGGTTGAAAAGAAGACAATATTTTTGAATTATTCGAGAAAATAATCTCAGCGCTTGCTGGAAAGCAAACACAGGCTCATTCTTAATCCCTGTGTTTTTGTAATGAATAGACAAAGCAGGTCTGTAGTCTGTTCTGAGAGAAATGTGCTCTTAAATGACCACGTTCTGCAATCCTCTTACACACTAAATATGTATCCCCACCCCTGGAACAAAAACAAAATAAATGTTGAACCAGTGCATCTATAAAAAGCGTCTTCCCCAAACATTCCAGTGCAGTCGCAGCAAAATATGCTGAAGGCAGAGTTAGCGAGCTGTATGGACCATGGACCACTGGAGTGAATGTGTACTGTAACTAATCACTCCAGTAGATCAGTGTGAAACAATCATGTTGAGGAAACGTAAGAAAAGGGGGCTCGAGAACTGTGTTTTGTTTTCTAAAGCCATCGTAGCCGACCAAAAGGACACTGGTGAGGAAACAAGGCCTCCGCTGCAGGATCATAGACAATAAACAAAGAGATATCAACAATTTTCCAAGATCCTAAATATGTCTGACTATGCTGAGGTTAAGACAAATGTGACTTCCAGAGCGTGGAGTCCAAGCTTTAATAAAAACAAATAAAACAAGCAATCTGAATACACGTCCTTGATAGATGAATCATTCAACAGAACTAATAATCTATCAATCAAGAAAATAATCTTTAATTGCAGCCCTAGTGTAACATTATACAGCTTCAATTAACAGCAGGAACAAGATGATGAAGTATATATATACGATACTGTCAGTGTGGAATAACATGATAATCTTCATGCAAAAACATTAATTTTGTCTTACTTTGAACTAAATTATTTAAATGTTAATGTGCAAGTCACATGAAGCATGAATTAAACAACATGAATCCTATTCATTATCTAAACCTAAGGGCAGACTAAAACTGGAGGGCAGAACTTCAGACTAAACATTTGAATCATGTCTGCTGCTATTATGGTAGTGAGCTACATTCACCCACTGGGCTTCAGAACCAAAACACACCGTCTAGAACGTGATAAATGAAGCGCTGCGTCGTCAGTCACTTAGTCATTTGATTCACACGTTTTGCAGCGGAGCGGGGTTCAAAAGTTCAACCCTTACTAATGCAATCTGCCATTTGGAAATAACTCACTCCACTGCCAATTTTACATTTTCCACAGCAGGGTGACCTCACGCCGAGTGCACACTCCAAGGGTGGATATAACGCATCGCCCAGCATCAGCTACATTGATCAGCTCCAAAGCTCCAGCTGCTGCTGTTGTTGTTGTTGTTGGGCAGGGATGATGATGAGGTGTGTCATCTCCAACAACACCATGTCTCACTCTTCATTTTGAACACACTAATAGCACCCCGCTCATCATCGTCAATCAGTATACGTGATCACAAAGGTCAGTTCACACACTCTCGGATGGTGATTCAATTGGTCAGAGAGAGAGAGAGAGATGGCATTTGGACACTAGAGTTGACTCGTGTGAACTCAATGTATGGGTCAGTGGTGATGCTGTTTATTCACAGTCTACGTGCTGCATGCTCAATACATACAGTAGAT